ATCTTGTGCTCCATCATCTCTCCGAATAGATCATTATTCATCCAAGTCCTTAGATATTCTAAGTAATATATAGGATAGAGATGCAACTCGAATACTCGTTGAAACCTGTATTGACCATCATAGTCAATGAACATAAGTCCATATTCAGGTTTCACATGCACTGTGTTGGGTATATAAAGACCCTTCGTAGGCAGTGACAAGTTCAACATTGAGATATCTGGCTTCTTTCGATCCTTGAGAAGTTCATCCACTGAAAATTTTGTCTCGTGCTCGTTCCTATGGGATGGTCCTTTTTCATGTTCAGTAAGGATTTTTCTTCGAGAGGGCTTCTTTGACAGAAAAGGAACCTCGATGATCTTTGACACTTGTTGAATAATTCATTCAAAATATATTCAATCAGAGGCTTGTGCTTGGATTTGGATTTCTGGATAGTCTGTCGAATCTCTAGCCATTTGTGGAAGCCATACTGACCGAGGTTGGAGGGGTACTTAGTGACAGTTTCTTTATTCTCTCAAAAAATGACCATTAAAATGAGAAGAGCACCATCTTTCACACGACCACTGATAGTGACGTTTATGATTTTGTGTGAGCTCAATCTCTTTTCAATCCTTTCTCTGAGCATGAGAGGTCATGCTCATTCAACTTCAATACCCGTTGGCATTCACGTTCAGCTTATCTAATCAGTTGGGCTTGAGCGCTAAGAGGAACTTTCTTTCTGAATTTCCCTTATGTCAGTTCCTGATCAGCTAGAGCCTTGGCTAACTCTAAGTTGTCTTTGATTTGTTGCTGATGGTTCTTCAACTCTTTTTCAACAGGTAGGGATTCTTCTCGTCCAGCTTCTGAAAGGAAATCAAGCTCACCATAACCAGAGGTACAACGAGAAATTTTTACTCTCATTTAGTCGAGCTGATTTACCAGCTGAGCCATCCTCTAGTCTTCATCAACTACTAAATATTCAGGTTGTCTAGACGACTTCTTAGGTATTAGCGTGTTGGCTTCATCATCGTCTTCATTGTCGTCTAAGGATTCAAAATACCGGAGATAAGTTGAGAGACCAGGAGGGTTGATGTAGAGGGTAATTGAGAGGAAAGGGTGGAAGTTTCAGTTTCTAAGGAAGGAAATACAAACCTGGAGGTGAATGCATCCTCAGATGGACTGATTTCCCATAGAACTATGGTAAGATTGTCTTCAGCCACTCCTTTGCCTTTGTCAATGGAATGATGCTTCTTTGAAGACTTCTCCCTCTGGGAAGCAGGTTCCTGGATGGAGATTCCTTTCAGTGCTGGTTGTCTTGGGATGGCTTGGATGCAAAAGTCATCATCGTCGTCATCATCGTCTTCTTCACCACCAAGATCAGTGTCAGTGTCTGGAAGTTAAGGTTTAGAATCCTCATCCTCATTATCATCATCATCATCATCATCTTCATCTTCAGCACCAGCATTTGGCATTGCAGATGTGGAAGGATGAAGATATTCATGGTCAGCAACAGCAACGACAGTAACCATGGCATCATCTTCATCATCGTCGTTGATAGCATCAGGGATAAGATCCTTGGCATCCTTAGCAGCAAATTTTAAAGCATCTGCTGGAGGTTTCAAAACATCTTCGTTCAAAGAATCTTCAGTAGTCTTCTCATCATTCTTCTCCCCGTCTTTGTCATCATCATGAGTAGAACCTGGAAAAGGAAGACGAGAGGTGAGGTATTCTATCTTTTGCTTGATAGAGGAGATAGTTTTAGTGTGAACAAGGTTGAAGGCAGCAACCTAATCCAGCTGTTGATCATCAAAATACTAATATTTACAATTCAAATAAGCTACTAGCGAAACAAAGTCTTATGCCTCTAGTGAGATCATCATGCTTAGCATGATGCATGGGTTTGTAAATGGGTCTGCTAGATTCTGATTTGTATGAACTTTAAGAACACCAATCTCATTTATTTTGACAACTTCTTGAACATAATGAAACTTTGTAGAATACATCAGCTACCTTTATGTGCTCTCATTTCCTTTCCAAGTACCAAAACACTAGTATTGTCATAGTACATAGCTTGAATGGGATCGAGAATCATCGTGATCAGTTTCGAAGCTTTCATTAGTGTAACACTTAACACTGATCTCCTCATCTAGACCCTTGTAAACTTATGAACATATGTTTAGTCATTCGCAGGTACTTAAGAATACTCTTTACAGCAGTTCAGTGACATTCACCTGGATTCTGTTGATATCTACTAATCATGCTCAAAGCATATGAGAGATCAAGTCTTGTACATAGCATGGTGTACATGATGGATCGGATGGCAAAAGCATAAGGAGTTCCACTATGCGTTTCACCTTATCAGGTTGTAGTAGGATACTGATACTTGCTCAAGCTTATACCATGTTGCATTGGCAAGGCTCTACAGTTGGAGTCTCTTATCCTGAACTGTTTCAAGATTTTCTCAATGTATGTACTTTGACTGAGACCTATTAGCTACTTTGATATATCCCTATAGATCCTTGTTCTAGGGATATATGTTGCTGATACGTACTAATTATTTAGTGCTTGAACATTATTTTCTTCTCTTTTAGATAGGACATTTTTTATTTATATCCCAACTTTGAGTCATTTTATTATTTTGTTTTCCATTTCTCTGTTATGAAGCTAAAATGACTGATTTATCTATTTTTGTTATATAATGGACTTATATGGATTTATTTTGGACAGTTTGAAGTTATTTGATGTTGCGGGAATGTTGCAGCATGACCTGATGGTGGAGAAATAGAAGAAAAAGGACATGAAGTTGACTGACATGACGATAGCTGACTTTTGAAAGACATCTTATGTTTGGACAACTGTTTATTTTGTAATTAGCTAGAAACTTTTTGGCTAATTTAGTTAAATTAAAACTCTAAGTATTTACTTTATTGTACTAGTGGTTGCTTTAGGACTAAATTGTGTGAATTGTCTAAAATACCCTCATCTCTACCCCTGTTGACGAAAATGTACCAATTCAAAATCCACCGGGATTTGGTCAAATACCACAATTTCAGCCTTCTCTACCAAATGCACCACTTTTTCAAAACCCACCAGGACATCCTTTTCAACAAGGGCCACCAAATCATGAAGACGCACATAATGACACAGAATCTGAAAATAATGATCATCCACGAGCTCAAACTCCAAATATAATTAATCTTGCAAACTCTAGAAATGGAAGAATCATTTACTACGTTATTCCTGATTTTGAGCAATTGAACTCAGGGATAGTTAGACCTCATATGAATGCCCTCCATTTTGAGCTTAAACCGATCATATTATATATGTTACAAACAAATGGACAATTTGTAGGATTACCATAGGAAGATCCTCACTCACATCTAAAAACTTTCATGGAAATTACTGATGTTTTCTTGATCTCGGGAGTGTCTAACGATGCTCTAAGACTTACTTTGTTTCCATTTTCTTAAGGGGATCGGGAAAAGTCTTGGTTTAACTCATTACTATCAGGTTCTATACCATCATGGGGACATATGGCCGAAAAGTTTTTGTGAAAATGTTTTCCACCCACCAGGAACGCTAAGTCCAGAAATGAAATATGTCTTTTTAAGCAAATGGACGATGAAGCTGCTCCTAATGCATGGGAGAGGTTTAAAGAGTTGTTAAGGAAATGCCCTTACCATGGCATTCCTTACTGTATTCAACTCGAGACATTCTACAATGGGTTAAGTCCCATGGCTAAACAGATGCTCGATGTAACTGCGGGAGGAGCCTTTACAGCTAATACCTACAATGAAGGGTATGGAATCCTTAAAAAAAATCTACAAACAATGGACACTGGGCTGATCCACGTGCCCAACCGCAAAAGAAGACAGCCAGAATTCATGATGTAGATGCATATACTGCATTAACAGCACAACTCTCTTGCATGGCTAACATGCTTAAAAACCTAACTTCTAGGCAAAGCGAGTGCAACCAAGTGTTACTACACCTGTTCCAGCAGTCCTCTCATTGCAATGTGTTTGTTGTGGAAGGGAGCACTCGTATGAACATTACCCTCATATTTCTGAATCCATAAACTATGTTCATAATGGATCTGGTCCCTATACCAATAGTTACATTGCAAGAGACAACACCCGAATTTCTCTTGGAATAGTCCATGTTTAAATGCATCCGCACCTAAGCAGCAAGGAACCTCTAATTTTCAACCCCAAGAGTATGCAAGCAGTTCTAACTCTCAAAATCATCATCACCAAAGTTTTCAAACTACTCAACCACTTTTTCAAAACATGCCACCTCCACAAACGGATTTATCATCTTCTTTGGAAGCAATGATAAAAGAGTTATTTGTGCAAGCTTAAGATCAAAATCAAGCTTTGATAACCCAACAGAACTCTAAAAATCAATCTCTTTTTAATCAGCAAACTGTTGGTATCAGAAATCTGGAAACCCAAGTCAGTCAACTTGCACTTAGTCGGACCAATAAAGTCCTTGGTACTTTGCCTAGTAACACAGAAGTCCCAAGATCTTTAGGAAAGGAACATGTGAAAGCAGTGACCCTTAGAAGTGGGAAGGAATTGACAAAGGTAGTGCAAAAAGATCGTGAACCAATTTTGTCAAAAACTAATGCTACAGCATTGGCCCTTGTTATTGAAAAACCACCGAAACCATTAGAAAACCAATCATCTAAAGTCACCAATATTGTCTCCTTATGATCAGACTACCTTTTACTGTTTCCTGAATATGACACTAGAAAAAGTCAAAAGGGAGTACGGTTGTAGAGACCCCTAAGGTGAATGCTTATATCCCATCCGCACCATAAGAGAGTAAGACCAGGACCCAAGGCATAAAGGACTCATCTTGCTCAACACATTCAAATAAAGCTGTCACGAAACCAGTTCCTCCATATGTCCCCTTTCCTCAGAGGTTAAGGAATCAGAAGGAAGAACTGCAATTTAAGAAATTTTTGGATGTGTTTAAAGCATTGCATATTAACATACCCCTTGTTGAAGCAAATTGAGCAAATGCCCAGTTATGCCAAGTTTCTCAAAGACATCTTAAGTAAGAAGAAGAAGCTGACCGAGTATGAAACCGTAGCTCTCACTGAAGAATATAGTGCACTTCTGACCAACAAGATACCTCCTAAGCTTAAAGACCCGAAAAGTTTCACTATTCCTTGTTCTATAGGTGGTAAGGAAATTAGGAAAGCTTTGTGTGACTTAGGAACAAGTATCAACCTTATGCCCTTATTTGTTGTCAACACCTTAGGCATAGGAGAGGCTAGACCTACCATTGTTACACTTCAATTGGCCAACAAATCCATTGTGTACCCTAAGGGAAAGATTGAGGATGTTTTAGTGCAAGTTTATAAGCTCATATTTCCGGTAGATTTTATCATCTTAGACTTTGAGGCTGATAAGGACATTCCTGTCATGTTAGAGAGACCATTCCTAGCCACCGGAAGAACTTTGATAGATGTCCATAAAGGAGAGCTGACTATGCGACTTCAGGACCAAAAAGTCACATTCAATGTCTTTAACTCCTTAAAGTACCCTGATTACTTGGAGGATGCTCAAGCATAACTGAGATAGAGGCAATATGTCATGAGGAAGGAATTAGAGAGGTCTGTAAGTTAGAGGAAGAAGATAGTGTTGAAATAGATGAAGAGATTGTTGAGGAGTTAGATTTAAGAGAGGATGATAGTGTCCCATGTGATGTTACTGCATTTGAGTTGTTGGAAAATAGTGAGCAAAAGAGCTCCACCCCATCAATAGTATCACCACCTGACCTGGAGTTAAAGCAACTCCCATCTTACTTGAAGTATGTTTTTCTAGAAGAAGAAAAAAAAAATTGTCATCATATCATCTACCCTAGAGTTGCATCACGAAAAAAATTTGGTGGATATGTTGAAGTTGCACACAAAAGCTATGGGATTGACCATTGACGACCAAAAGGGAATTAGTCCTTATTTTTATCAACGTAAAATCATMCATGATAATAATTTTACATCCATAAAGTCGCAAAGAAAGATGCCTACTTTTGACAAAGCCATAAATAAATTGTTTGGTTTCTCACCTCACATAGATTTTGAGAATAGTGCACTCTTGCACACGGCCTCTGAGGCATATGTGGTTGAGAACATGACTTTCCTTGGAATGCCTGAGACTTATTGGGAGCCTTACACTCATTTTATGTTGAAAACCTTTAAGGCTGCCAATTTGTCCCCTGATGAGAATGTTTGGATAAGTTTTGTTAGATATTATTTATCACCGACTACTTCTGACGACTCCACTTATGTGGAAAGGTTGTTACTTTTGTTTAGTTTCATAACAGGTGAGAAAGAGAAGGAGTAGGATGGGATGACAAGGATGATGAAAGATTTGATGGCCCAAAACAGCAACTTGATGGACTGTATGGTTAAGCGAATGAATGAATTTTTAGGAAAAATTGCAGACAAAGTTGGTTGAAAAGATGAACATTAGGGAGAAGAAAGCAAGGAAAGACATCAAGAATCTAAAGGCAGACCTGGAGGATGGTGCAATGACAAAATTCAAGAGGATGGGGCAAAAGATGAAAGACCTCAAGATGAAAAATAGAAGGTTGACCATATGCTTGTATAGCCACAATAATTCTATAGTCTAGCTACCCTTCTAATCATTTAGTATTTCTAGAACTAGCTTTATTTTGCTTGGGAAATATTTTGATCCACATCATATGCACATCTAAGAAAAGATATAGGCCTTTGTTTTTTTCTCAATATCTAGCCACTTGTAGCCAAATGCATAAACACTCCCTCTATATACTTCCAATAAGGACATTGAAAACTTTGAGTTTGGGGGAGGGTACCATCATGGCCATAATGATCAAAACATCACAAAAAGTAAACAAAGTGCCCAAAACTTAAATGCCATGTTTGAGATCTAAAACACCAAAAATATCCCATAGGGACAGGTGTATATGCAGTCAACAAAAGAGCACAAAGTGCCAAAAATTGAAAAAAAATCAATGTTGATGCAAAAAGGTGAGAAAAGGCAAAGTGAGGAAAAATATGTCAAATAAGAGTGAACCAGTAACTTCAAGTCCTATTGATCTTAGATATATGATGTGTTTAGCATAACAAAAGGCAAATGATGCTACCTTATGGTTCATACTCATGGTTAGGTAGGATATGCTTACTTGGGATTTATGAAAGCTACATATTGCATCTTTGGTATGAACAACATCTGGTGTGCACTTACTGCCATTTCTTGTAAAATTTTCAAAATTGGGTCATTTTTAGTTGTCTTTTTGTTGCTTGGGGACAAGCAACAGTTTAAGTTTGGGGGTGTGATACGCACTAATTATTTAATGCTTGAACACTATTTTCTTCTCGTTTAGATATGACATTTTTTATTTATATTCCAACTTTGAGTCATTTTATTCCTTAATTTTCCATTTCTTTGTTATGAAACTAAAATGAATGATTTATCTGTTTTTTGTTATATAATGGACTTATATGGATTTATTTTGGACAGTTTGAAGCTATTTGATGTTGCGGGAATGTTGCAGCATGACCTGATGGTGGAGAAATAGAAGAAAAAGGACATGAAGTTGAATGACATGACAATAGCTGACTTTTGAAAGACATCTTATGTTTGGACAGCTGTTTATTTTGTAATTAGCTGGAAACTTGTTGGCTAATTTAGTTACATTAAAACTCTTAAGTATTTACTTTATTGTACTAGTGGTTGCTTTAGGACTAAATTTGTGTGAATTGTTTAAGATACCCTCATCTCTACCTTAGTATAAATAGAGATGTTGTGGTTAGTTTTTGAATAATCCTTTCTAATTCTCAAGTAGTTATCTTACTACTTGAAGAACACTTTCTCTCTCTAAGAAATACTAGTAATCTTTTGGTTAATATCAAGCTTTCCTTAAATTGTTTTCTTCATTTACTTGCTCTTTAAATTATGTCATTTATTTATTACGCTTACTTGCTCTTTAATTTGCGTCATTTATTTATTACTCTTTCCGCATTTTATTTCTCATCATTTATATTCCGTCATTTACTTCCGTTATTTATTTTATGTCTTTATTTACCGCAGTTTATATTTCTTGCAATTTACTTTATGTCATGAGTAGCTAAATTTCTTAGCTCGGGTGTATGACGAAAATGGTGAGTTTGTAAATCAAAATAAGGTAGACCCTTTTATGTAACAACAATGTTTCATTATTTAAGTTCAAGTTTTATAAAACCAATGACACTTCTTGATGAGTTGATCATTGAAAAGTGTTAAAGTGCCATGGACTCTAAGTTCAAGTTTTACACACCCTTTTAGGGTACTTTAAGTTCAAGTTTTACACACCCTTTTATGGTACTTTAAGTTCAAGTTTTACACACCCTTTTAGGGTACTTTGGATTCACAAACCCTTCTAGTTACACCATATCTAAGTTCAAGTTTTAACACCCTTTTAGGGTACTTTGGATTCACNACAAACCCTTCTAGTTACACCATATCTAAGTTCAAGTTTTAACACCCTTTTAGGGTACTTTGGATTCACAAACCCTTCTAGTTACACCATATCTACGCCACCTTCTTAAGTGACAATTTAGAAAGGGGTGTTGACATCCATTTATCATATCTCATGATCATAGTATGTAGTTATGACAATAAGTATCCAAATGGATTTAATATTGGCGACTAGAGAGAGAAGCTTTACTCATAGTCAATACCATGAGTTTATGTGAAACCTTTCACCACGAGATGATCCTTAAGTGTGTACATTTCCATCCATGTCAGTCTTTTTCTTGAAGACCCATTTACGCCCAATAGACTTGTTATTGTGTGGAAGATCAACTAAGTCCTAAACTTGGTTGTATTTTATGGATTGCATCTCTATATTCATGGCTTCAAGCCACTTGTCAGATTTAGGATCCAATACAGACTCTTGGTAGCTAACAAGTTTACAATAATCTCATAGTTCAGCTTCCTCAGCGATCACAAGAAATCCATATCTCTCAACTTGTTGAGAAAACCTACCAGATATGTGAATGACAGGTGGTTCATGTTGTGCCTCAGCATTCGAGTGCTTGGGCTCAACACGTTATTTGCTAGTGTCGTTAGATAGTGTCCTCCAACTCTACATCCTCTAATGACAAGATGGACAAAAGACCATCCCTCACACCAAATCATTGGTAATCCTTCCCAAGGCATAAAGACCAGAGTTGCTACTACAAATGAATGTTTATTTGTAAACTTTTTAAGCATGGTAGAGCCAAGGAAAGTTCATGAATATTTCCTGAGGAGGTTCTACCCCATGGAAACGCTCTTTAATGGAACTTTAGCTTTAAATGGTCATGCATTCCAAGACCCAAGCTGGGTAGATGCCATGCAAGGCGAGCTACTCTAGTTTGAAAGAAATAAGGTATGGACTCTTGTTCCTTTACCCAAGGATAAACTTGAAATTGGCACTAAGTGGATGTTCAAGAACAAGAAGGATGAGGATGACATTGTTATAACAAACAAAGCCAGGTTAGTTGCAAAAGGCTACTGCCAAGAAGAGGGCATAGACTATGAAGAGGCCTTTGTCCCAGTAGCAAGGCTAGAGGCAATTTGATTGTTCTTAGCCTTCTCTACATATAAAGGTTTCATAGTTTATCAAATGGACGTTAAGTCAGCCTTTCTAAATGGTAAGCTGAAGGAGGAAGTCTATGTGCAGCAACCGCCTAGATTTGAGAGTCCGACACATCCAGAGTACGTCTACTACCTAGATAAAGCTATGTATGGTCTTACACAGGCACCCAGAGCTTGGTATGAACGTCTTTCAACCTTTTTAATCTCTAATGGCTTTGAGAAAGGTAAGATCGACACAACCTTGTTCATCAAAAGGTATAAAGGTGAGATGCTACTATTACAAATATATGTGGATGATATCATATTTGATTCAATGAACCAAAGTTAATGTGACAAATTCTCTAAGTTAATGAAAGGTGAATTCGAAATGAGCATGATGGGAGAATTAACCTTCTTCCTCAGTCTCCAAGTAAAACAAACTGAAAATGGGATTTTTATAAATCAAGCCAAGTATGTCTCTGACATCTTGAAAAAAGACCACCTTCATAATTCAAACATCTATGAGAACACCAATGGCCACGGGTACTAAGCTTGACACAGATCCATCAAGAAAACCGGTGGATGTCGAAAAATACCGAGGAATGATTGGGTCACTTCTGTATCTCACGGAAAGTAGGCCAAATATAATGTTTGCTACATGTCTATGTGCTAGAATTCAAGCAAATCCTAACGAATCTCACATATCTGCAGTTAAAAGAATCTTTCGATACCTCAAAGGGACTTAGTTCTTGGGTCTTTGGTACCAAAAGCATTATCGCTTTGACCTTTTTGCATATACAGACTCTAATCATGTAAGGTTTAAGCTCTATAGGAAGAGCACATGGGGAAGCTATCAACTACTTGGAAACAAGCTAGTGAGTTAGACATCCAAGAAGCAGAACTGTGTGTCAATATCTACTATAGAAGCAGAATACGTTGATGCAGCAAGTTGTTGTTCACAAGTCATATAGATGAAGACTCAACTCAAA